AAGCCCCAGTGGATAGTTGTATGTCGTAGCTGCACATCCTTCTAGTTGCTGTATGCGGGACTCGGCCTCAGGATGAACGGAGAAGTGGTGCCTCGATGCGCACCCGGGATCCGAACCCGGGCCACCAGCATCGCAGCGCGCGCACTTAACCACCAAGCCACAGGGCCAGCCCTGTTATTTGTCAATAGAAAGTAACGAGGGACTAATGTACGTGCAGTGTGGATGAACCTGAAATACGTTAGGCTAAGTCAAAGAAGCCAGCCACAAAAGACCACGTTGTATGACTCCATTTATATGAAATGTCCAGGATAGGCCAATCTATGGAGACAGAAGGTAAATCCGAGGTTGTTTAGGGCTGAAGAGAGGAAGAGACTGACTGCTAGTGGGTTCAGGGTTTCTTTTTGGGGTGAAGAAAATGCTCTAAATTTAGACTGTGGTGATGGTTCCACAACTCTGTAAATATAATAAAAACTATTGAATTGTACACTTTAAATGGGTAAATTTTTTGTTAAAGATGTTAACAAAAAGAGTAACTATCTTTTGGGTATGACATATCTATATGATTCTCTCCTTTTGTATAAGTTTGAAATTTCCAAAATAAAAGGTTAAAATAAAAGAATATATACCTTATGGCATCCATCAAGATGATCCTTAATAGAGCTGGCACCTGGCCTTTTCTCTTTTTTTACCTTTAGCCTTTCCCCCATCCTGCTGCCTGGAATGCAGATGTGATGGCTGGAACTAGCTGCAACTATCTTAAACCATGAAGACAAGGGCCACATCCTAGAAAAGGTGGCACAGTGAGCTGGGAGTAGCCTGGATCACTGAGGACATCATGGCTCTGAGCTGCCAGGCCAGCTCTGCACCATCCACCTGTGGACAGTTATGTGAGTCTTGGTTGAACCACTCTAACTTTGGGTTTCCCTTCCGCACAGCTAAACCTAACCCCAACTGATATGGCAGATTTTTATAAGAGAGCTACATGGTCTACATAAAATAAACCTGGAGGCTTCTCACTCTTCTCTCTAGCCTGCAACAGTTTAAGTAGCAAAGGGACTCTCTGATCCTTGAAGCTCAGATAAAAACCTGCCATAAGACCTTCTGGGCCTGGCACCTTTTTAGTGCTATTTCTTTGGCAATTTCTTCCCTAGGGTATCATTTTATTCAGGTAGCCTACCTTTTCATTTTATTGAAGTTTGCAGTTTATTAGCAGGGAAGGTACATACTGCAATATTATAATTCTTATCAAGCTCCTTTTAATCTGAAGTTATTTCTAGCATTATATATTTCTTTTTCTCTCTTTGTGTTCTGTTCTGTTAAAGATCTGCCACTGAATTAGTCTTTTCAAAGTACCAACTCGTGGACTTACAAATTTTCCAGTGTTTTTGCTTTCATATCAGTTAAGTCCTGCTTTTATCATTATTCTTTCCTCTTTGTTTTTGTTTTTCTAGACTTTTAATTTGAATGCCTAACTCAGTTTTCATTCTCTCCAGCATAATAAGAACATCTAAGGCTATGAATTTTGCTCTGACTGCAGCACTGGCCATAGTACAAAGCTCTGGCTATATAGTATGCTCATTTTCATTGTTTAAAAGGGTCTGTAAATGAAGTTTTGCTTTTCTCTGAAGAATGTTATAAAATTTACAAGCAGTTATATTGAATTTGATTCTCCTTTTGGTAATAATATTTAATTTTATTGCACTATGGTAGGGTACATGGCTTGGGCAACGGGAAACCCGGACAAGAGCCTTTCCTTCGACTACAATCCCCTCATCTGCAAATGGGGGGGAATAACAGTTCCCTCCTCATAGGGTCGCTATACAATTAAGTAGGATAATCCATGCACAGCACTTAGAACACGGCCTGACCCAGAATAACTAATGCTCATATGGCTCTCATTAGACCCAATCCACAGCTAGCATCTGTTAACACTCCAGCAACTTGAAAACACTCCAGCCAGCACTGAGCTCCTCTGAGCAGAAGCAGCGTGGAGCCCATCCCTCTGGACGGGAGGGCTAGCCACACTTGAGGTAGCACCTCCTGGCAAGTTTTAAGGATGTTTGGGAGCCGGCACCAGACAGCAGCTCTCCTCCCAAAATGTAGGATGAAAAGGATGCATTATAGCTGTCATCGCAGAACACATTCTTGGTATTAAGTTGACATCTCTCTCCGGGAAAACCACAACTTAGTCTTTTTAACCATCTGAATAGTGAGTGATGGTGAAAACCAGCCCATTGTCCTTCCACTCTGGTCAGGGAAGTTTTACTGGGTAGGGCTGGGTCCAGCTGGGTTCTGGGGCTGTTGGGCCTACACCTGCCCTGCAGTTATTAGCTGGATCTGGGCAAGGTTCTGGACGCCTGAGAGTCTCGAAGTCAAGTCTTGGCTCAGAGGGTGGGCACAAAGATAGAAGGAAAATTTCTTTGTTCTACATGCACAGGTAGCTCAGGGTCTACGAGAGGCAACAGATGGGACCAGACCCTGCACGTGTGAACTCCTGCCCCTCCCATCATGAGCTTGGGGCTGGGCTGCTGCAGCCAAGACCCCCAGCAATCCAGGGGCTTGAAGACGAGTTCATTTCTTTCTCTCTCTTGTGACAATGACATGGGGGGTGGGGGAGGCGAGCTGTTTTGCTCACACGTCTGTTGTGCTCTGGCACAGTCTAGGCTGGGAGGCAGGCCTGTTCCTGGTCCGGCCAGACAGGGTCTGGCCTCCAATGGCTCACATCCTCCTTGTCACATGACCACACCTAGCTGCAAGGGAGTCAGAAATAAGTCTCTAGCCAGGTGGGCATGGGTCCATGGAAATGCAACCCTATTTCTGAACAAGGGGGAATGAGAGAGGAACTGTGGGAGCACACAGGCAATCTGCTAAAGTAATACATCACTGCTGGCACGTGGGGGGTAATCTTAGCCCCTGAAGTTTTTAAAGGGTAATTCACACCTGGACTTGGGAATGATGAGACTCCAGTGGTGAAGGCAGAAAGGAGGTCAGGGTCCACCTCCCCAACAGCTCCCAGAACAGGCAGGCTCGGGACACAGACTCTGGATGAGTTCAGGCACGATGCTTTGGCTTTTTTATCCTTTTCTTTCTGATTTCCTCTCCACCTTTACTTTGGAACTCACAACGTGGCTGAGACCTGGCGCCAGGCCCTACTTCTGCTGGAGCTCCGATAGCCAAAATGCATTCCTGCCTAAATGGGCATGTCCAAAATAATATACTGTTTTAGATTCACGGTTCGCAAACCCTTTCCTTCACCTCCCCTTCCTCTCCTCTCCTCTCCTGGGAGAATTTGACAACCCTGAGCTTCGGCCAGTGGACACCCGCAGCTCCCGCCACCCGGGGCAGCAGTGGGACAGCTGCTGTCCTAGATACCAAACATCTGAGTTTTCCTGAATAACTGATGGTGGAGGGATCCAGCCAAGAAGGGGAAGGAAATGGCAAGCCTGAGGCACTTCCCTGGGCCCCTCAGGGTGGAATGAAATGATAAACGTGGCCGGGCTGCCGGCAGCTCTTCAGGTAATAATTATTCCCTAGGGAAAGCACTACCATATTGATATCCATAAAATCGGATTGCTAAAGAAATTATATAGCAATATATATCCCAAACCTTGCTCAAAATTCTCATTTAGTTTTTTTTCTATTAAAAATGATTTCTATCTTTGAAATTTCCCAGAAAGTATGGCCTCTTTGTTTTCTGCTACCTAGTTTAAACACATCATCAAGGACAAATAATTATTAAGGTCATGTGAGCATAAAAGCAGACTTATCAACCAGAAATGTATTTTCTGGGAACCAACCTTTAAATGACTCAGTGAATACGCTGTTATCAGTTTCACCGGTGAAGCCCTGGGATAAAGCAAAGCCTGGTCAGGTCTGTCTGCCCTTGGCACCACACGTCACCAGACGCTGTGCCAGGACCAGGGCAGCACAGCCCGCGGGCCGTCAGCCTGAGGCCGCCTCACCCAAGCCTGCCCAGGAGAGGGACCATCAGCAATAGCGTGCAAAGCGCACAGCTTATTTCTGAGGCCTTGTTAGCTGCGGGCCGGCAGAAACAATGGCAGGATCTGAAGGAAGAAATGTGTTGCAACAGGCTCACCACACACCGTTACTCACAATGGGAGGCCCAGGAGAAAATGGCTCCAGGCCAAAAGCCCCTGGCTCCAACACAGGGCCCTCAGGGGGTCACAGGCAGGCCAAGTTCATCAGGGCCAGAGCATTTTCTCGGCACCACCCAGTGTGGAAGGGTCTTCACTTATGCCCTGGGCACAGGTCTCCTGCCGCTCAGAACCCACCCAACAACAACAGGCTCAGACACGCGTTTTTTCGCCCCTTACGTAACCTTGCATTTAAATGTATTCTGGGAATAGGGCAGCATACAACTTTACACCAGCTCCTGTGACTTCAGAAATACTCCAGCACAGCCACTGTCACCAAGTCCTCTAACTCTGGTGAGAGAAGGAACACTTTTTTCTAGTTCCCTCAAAGTTTTGAAGTTATCATGAAAAATGTTATAGGAGAAAGTGAAAAAAAGTGCCCCACATTTCCAGTGGGTGCCTTTGCACTCACTCCTTCTTGGAGGGTCTCTGCAAACGTCATAAGCAATGAGTACGCTTGTGGCCATCCTGTGCTGTCGGGGGTCCTAGCCGCATCCTCTGGCCAGGCATAGAGGGCTTCCTTTTGTCCCCAGGATCTCACTTTCCAGCAAGGCTCAAATTGCTGTTACAACTGTTCTGCCCTCACAAGGGGCAGGTGAGTCAGGAGTCACAGGAAACGATCTGGCCAACGACATTACGTAATCCTCATGAATTCCAAAGGAAAGGTCTGATGAGAAGTGCCCACTGGAGGCAGCAGCCTGGAGGAAATGAGGAAGAAGGGCGGCTGTGGTCTGAGGGGTCAGACTGATTTCTGCTACAGAATCATCAGGAAACAGCACGTGCTGCCGGCTTGCTCCCGTGCAGGCTGGGCACCAGCTGCACTTCCATTGGCCACTCTCGTCCGGCCCCTCCTCCCACTACATCCTGCAGAGCTTCAGCGGGAAGTTCTCCGTGATGAGATGATCAGCGTGGAGCAGCACAACGATGTTCACCTCGAATTCTGAGAAGAGAAAGGACAGGCATTATGTGCGCTTGCCCCGCAGCGGCACCCAACGCCACCCCCACCACAGGCGCAGCGGGCTCCGCACAGCGAGGGGGCGCTGCGCCGTGGGGGCTTCTGTACTCCAGTCCCATGGACGTCAGCCTAAGCTTCCAGAACCTGGGAAGACGCTACACTGGGGTCTGACTGCCTCTGGAGCACTTTCTCTAAGTAATTTGTCTTCTCACCTCGGAACGTGTTGTAAGGCATCAGCTTCCCCACCCACACTTTCCCTGTCCTTTGTCTTTACTAGAGAATCTTCTAGAATCCTTTCCATTCATCTGCATTCTTTTGCTTTATTTTTACATTTCCTACAGTTCTTAACGGAACAGCAGACTCCAAACTGGCCCGCGTCTGGGGACACATCTCCCATCCCCGAGGTTCAGAAACGGCATACGGTTTAATGGTTGTCCTTTGGATAATGGCTGATTTATCCGAAACACCTGTTCAAACATTCATCTCTTACCTTTCAGCAAACAGGGTTCTTTCTCCATCAGCTCTTTAGCTGCCATGGGTAAGCCTTGTTGACAGCAAAAAGGGTGTGTGTGTGAGGAGGGAGCTCCCTGAAGAAAGACACGCCCCACGCCCCTCCCCGGTGTGGAGAGGGCGGTGCAAAGGGCCCGTGAGGGCAGAGCAGTGAGCACCGTGTCTCACAGGCTCAGCTGTGGAAGGGGCTTGGGGGTCAGTGCGTCCAAGGCCCCACCTGTGGCTGGAGTTCTGAGGACACCATCCCATGTGCGGCTGTCCACACCAGCCACGACAGGAGTCGGGCACCAGCAGTGCCCACCCTGTCACCTTCCTTACTCTGATAATCATCACAGCACTAGAACAGCCCCTTGGGCCTTCCTGTCACCCTTCTTTTCCAGCGGTCCTCCAGCCACCTTGTTGTTCTCCCTGGGAAGGAGCACGGTGTGGCTGGAGTGGACAGAGGATGCTCAGCGGGCATGTTAGGCCCACATGAGGGAGCTGCTGCTGGCTCTCCTTATGGCAGAGAACTCGGCAGAGCAGCGCCATCGGAGCAGCTGTTCAGCCCAGGCTCCCTGAGGTCCCAGTGGGCTCCCGCTGGAGTACACTGCCCAGCCTGAGCCCTGCACGTGAAGCCACTTCTGGTCAGCACCAACACAGGTGAAGGGGATGCACGCAGACACTGCTCTTACCTCGGGACGTCGGGCTCGCCCCCACCTCCCAACCCGGAGGGGCCGATGCACCCCAAGGTGCAGAGCCTGACCTGGGCCGGCCACGTGGGCAGCAACTCCAGGGCCTGGGAGAGCCTGCAGTGCTCACATAAAGGTCACACGTCTCCTCTTTTCTGAGGGGACTCCCCTAACTAATAGCCTCTGTCACTGTGCAAGCCCCCAACCAGACTCAACTCAACATCGGGCGTGAGGACAGGAGCGCTCTGGTGTCTCGGGGAGGGACTGAGGGCGCTATTTACAGGGAGGAAGCAGAGGCTCTGCAGGAGATGTTACACGGACACCTTACAACTCACAGAAATAACGTGCAAGAAACTTAGGTGCTTAATGTATAGCATAGCAGAAAAAAATAACTTTTTGGACCTTTTGAAGTTTATGTAGGAAAACTAAGCTGAAAAATCAACAGACAAGTTCCTCTCCTCCTCTACTTAAAATCAAAGTATTCTGAAGTAAAAAAGACCACCTTCGGAACGGTGTGCAGAGTCCAGGGAGTGTGAGGCTGGTGGCCCTGGGGCACCCCCACTGGACCTGTGGTCGGGGCACTCGCTTTGCACTCTGGACAGCGTCCTGTGGGCACACACTACTGCTGCAGTGACAATCAGACACACGTCTTTGGAGACACATCGTGGCACCTCTTGTCGTCGCTCCCAGCAGCCTGCTGTCCTGTCATGAGTTTGGCAAACAGCCGACGTGCTGCCCTCTTTGGTGACACGGGTGTCCCAACCCCATCATGCTCTCGCTACAATGAATGTTTCAGACGAAGCACTCAGGGGCTCCACAAACAGGAAACTGTGCTTCTCATGTGCTGGGCGCGCTCCAAGACTCTCACTGCACTGCAGGCACAGGAAGTCCACGAGCGCCCAGCGACTCAGCAGCAGAGACAACGCACCCCCCTCCCCAACTCCTTCAAACAAAGAGCACGCGCTCAACTGGGTGACGAAACCGTGCTGGCTTAAATTTTAAGTTATGTTATGTGGAATTACTGAAAGTAAAATCATAGTCTACTTAAAAAAACAAAGATTCTCTCCAGACTAATAATAACACACATTAAAAGATTTAGGGGGAGGGGCCGGCCCGGTGGCGCAAGCGGTTGGGTGCGCGCGCTCCCCTGCGGCGGCCTGGGGTTCGCTGGTTCGGATCCCGGGCGGGCACCGACGCACTGCTTGGCAAGCCATGCTGTGGCGGCGTCCCATATAAAGTGGAGGAAGATGGGCACGGATGTTAGCCCAGGGCCGTCTTCCTCAGCAAAAAAAGAGGAGGATTGGCGGATGTTAGCACAGGGCTGATCTCCTCACAAAAAAAAAAAAAAAAAAAAGATTTACGGGGAATATGACATTAATAAAACGTAGTGGCCTCAGGGACTAAGTTCCCATTTCTCAACAAGGCAGGTACAACAGCAGAAACAATTACCAAATCCCCTTATCCCAGCTATTTACCAGTGAGACAGGCATGACAAGGTTGTTCCCGGAAAGTCCAGGGACACTTTTTGTGGACTTTTCCATCAGTCTGCAGAACGTTGTGCCAGCGAGGGTGGAAGTCCCTCAGGTCTGGTCCTACTGTGTCGTGAGAGCTGCACTCTCTACTGAACCTCATAAGCATGAGGATTTTATTAGGATAGGTGCACTATTAAAATATTTTATAAGAATATTTCAAACCACGGAGATGTTCATGGTATAAAGTGAAGGGAGAAAAAACAGGATATAAAACTGTCCGTAGCACGATTCAGATCTTGTGGTCAAACTATCTATACGTGTCATCATGGAAAATGACCAGGACCCTAAGCTGGTGCCAGCAAAAGGCTCACGATCAAGGTTCACACTGGGACTGTCACGTTCTGGGTCTCTGCTCCAATGCCCACCTATCAAAGCAGCTGACTCAACCTTCCTGTGCACACTGGTTTGTCCCTTCTTATCGTCACCTCCCCTAGCCCACAGTGACGTGGTCACTGGCGTCTCCCTGTATGACGACGCACGTTCCTGGAGAGCCGGGACTGCTCCCCGTGTCCTGACTGAGTGCTCTGAGCTGTGCCCGATCCAAGCAGACAGTGTGTCTGTCCCAGGCACTGGGTGGCCCTTCTGTGGGCCACACCCTTCATGGGAGAATCCCGCCGGGCCCACGAGGGTGAGAGCGAGCACACTCACCCACTTTGAAATTGGTGGTCTCCAGCGTAGGGCAGGTGAAGAGCCGGGGGAAGACCATGTATATGGGGACAGCCAAGCCCCGACAGACATCCCCATCGGCGATCTGGATATTCTGGATCTCTGTGGCATCGCGGGCATACCCTTCTGCACACCCTGGAGAAGGGAGAAGCAGCCCTCAGTCAGGAAACAGCGAACGTCCACGCAAGCTGACTAAGAGGTCCCTGAGACTCCGTGGGAGCCTGCGTCCACACTCGCCCCCACTGCTCCACTTGCTCCACAGGACTCTGGAGAGGCCCCTTCCCTCCACATCTCACTTCCCTCACACACACCTACTGCACCTACTGGGCTCGAGAGGCGGGCTCCCACTTGTGTCCCACCCGTAGCACGTCAACCAGCGCCTGCAGGCGGGCAACAGGCAGGGCACAGGCCAGCCTGCCCAGCCAGGCCCTCACGTACCACAGGTCTCCACGCGCACCAGCTGCAGCTCTATGCTCTTGATGGCGGCCTCTGAGCTCTCCACCACCAGCTCTCCTGTTAGTGGCTGTGTGATGACACAGTTGGTTGAGTTGAGATGTCCTCTGATGAGAAATTTGGGGAGCAAGGCCCTCTAAAACAAAACAAACAAATACATCGGGAATGGAAGGTGCCATGAGAAAGTACTCGATAGTCAGTTGGGTACAAATAAAAACTGAAAACAAAGTTGGATAATTTTTATAAAACCCACTGGGCCCTGTTTTACAAAATGGGAAGAACAGTACCATAGTACTTACACCTTCTGTCAACTTAATTAACAGACTACATTATTCAACAACCATCTACAGATATAAGACACCTGAAGGACCTGCCTGTACGGAATGACCGGCCTCTCACAGAATCATCCGAATTGCCTAGATCAGATCTGGAAAGTGCCTCCTTCCCACGGAATATGACATAAAATAGTCTGAGGAAGTTGTGAAGAGTGTTTAAGGACAACCAATCACACACACAAAAAAGGTTTTAAAAAGATAATCAATTTTACCATGTTCCCAATTATGCAGCTTTGAAGTCAAGACATTTATTTTATTTCAAAGAAATTTAAAGAGAACAATTTTCTTCAATGCTTGACTACAAGCCTATGGATCTTTTCTCTGTCGAGAGAGGAAATGGGTCATGGGAGAGGGATGATGTTCTTGTGGGAAAAACAGATCTAAGGAGTTAGAGACCATTGTTCTAGCAGCCTGTACCTCTGACTGTGTCCCCGTTACTGAAGGTAACACAGAGTTCAGAACACCACCGTCCAAGAGAAGCAACACCACACCACAACAGTCCAACAGAAGCATAAAGTAAGCCACAAGTGTGAACCAAATACGTAATCTAAAATTTTCTAAAAACCACATTTAAAAAAGTAAAAGGAAACAGGTAAAATTAACCAATATATCCAAAATATTGTCACTTCCTCATATAATCAATATTAAAACATTATGATGTTTTATATTCTTTTCTTCCTACTGAGTCTTTGAAATCCAGTCAGCACCTTCCACTTATAGCTCGTCTCAGTTCCCACCAGCCACGTCTCAAGTTTCGGTGGTCACACGTGGCTGGTGCCACTGTATTGGACAGTGCAGGTCGGGAACTGAGGAGCAAGGGAACTCTGTACCTGATGGCCCCCAAAGGCAGAGAACTCTAAAAAAGTTTTGACTCGTGAGATTTCTAAAAATAACTAAAAATAAAAGAAGCTATTTGTTTAGAAAAATAGAAAGCAGTAGCAGTCTACATTAAAATTCTTTTAGGCAACTGATGAAAAAAGAAAAGCTCTCACGGCTAGCTGAAGATACTGAGAAACATTCATCTTACCTCTCCTCCCACTGGCAGGATGCTAATGTACACGACCACAAATAAGCCTGCACCTCTCAAAGCTACGCGGAAGGCCACCCAGAGACCCCTCCGTGACGCACTTCTGTGAGATGGAAGTGGACTGACGGTGACGCTCACGAGAGTCCAGGGGACCACACCCCCCAGCGGGCAGAGAGAGCTCTGCGGGCAAGTTCCCACAGGGCCCAGGCAGCCCTGAGACAGAGGCGGGGGCCCACCCAGGGGAGGGCAGGTGGTGGGCAGTCACAGGTAACGCAGCAGAGGGTGGCGAAACTGGCCGTGTGTGGCCTTGGGAGTTAGTGCTTGCCCCAGGCTGGCTCCACAGCTTCCCTCAAGGGTGACCTCCCACCGAGGAGGCTCCCAGAGCACGCTGCGCAAGGAGTGCAAGTGCCCCAAGTCACTTATGGCCCCAATGCAGGACAGCAAGCCCCTAGGCCTAGAAGACACGCTACCTGCACCCCCCCAAAAGAAAGCCCCCAGGGCTGAATGCTTCCTTCCCCTGTGCAACACTCAAGGTAAAGCTGCTCTGGTCAGAGTGTGTGTTCACAATCAGAGGAACAGATTCTCTTTTGAGCTAAAGAGAGAGAGTCCCGTTACCAAGACCATACATATTAGATCCTAATCTATAAAGATAAACTGACAACCAAGAATCAATCAACATTTGAAGAAAAGAAAAGCAAGAAAAAGAGGCACACACTCAACAAACATGAGAACCAGCCCCCTAAGAAACAGCATCAACAGAGGAAACAGAGATGGAAGGCACTGCGTCTGTAATAAAAGAAGGGGCCATTTTGAAAAAGAAATCGTGCTTCAAAATGAATCCCACTGTTGTTGAAGTAAACAGTTCAACAGATGGGCTAAATACTCACTGAAGAGCAAATGAGTGAGCTGCAAGACGGAGCCAAGAGGTTCTCCTATGACGCATCTAAGAAATACTAAAAGAGAAGTTCACAGAGCTGAAGGAAGGTTCAGCCTTCATAACAAAAGGGACCACCCAATGCTGGGCACACTGATGAAATAAAGACCCGACCCTGGGCAAGTGCTTTGAAATTTTAGAACACTAAGGACGGGAAGATCTTGGAAGCTTTTGGCGGGGGCAGGGTGGGAGAGAGAGAGGGAGAAGAAACAGATTAGCTCACACAAATTTCAGAATCAGATTGTCATCAGTATCACTAGGCACTAGAAAACCAGGGAGCTGTCTTTCAAAGATCTAAGGGCAAATGACATCAGAGCTAGAATTTTCTACCTAACAGACTACGATTCAAGGGTGAGAGCAAAAAAAGATACTTTTCAGATACTCAAGGATTTAAGTTCACTCCTCACCCTTGCTGAAACAATGACAGTAGGATGTATTCCAGCTAAACAAAAAATAAATCAAAGAAGAAAACATAAGCAAGTGGAAACAATGGCGAGCAACGATCGTAGTAAAACTTAAGAGTTAATGCTAAATAATATGACTATGATACTTCAGGCAACTATTAAGAAATGGTTTCTAAGCCAATAAAGGCTTAATATTTGGAGAGACAACACTGATGACAAACTGGAACTTAGATTTCAACAAACAAGGGGGGTGTGATGAGAGAAAAATGCAAAAATGTTACAAACCTTCTGCCAGAAGGCACTTATTCTCAAAGCTGTTATTTAAATTTATAATTGTCTAAGTATGTTTGAACATTTAAGGGTAACTACTAGGAAAGTAATGCCAGCAGAGTCACCCAGGTGGACAGGTTTCAGCGGAGCTTCCAGACTAAGACAGAAGAAGAAGAAGGACCTGGCCACCCACTTCTGAAAAAACTGGCCATGAAAACCCTGCAAACAGCAGTGGAGCATTGTCTGATATAGCACTAGAAGGTGAGAGGATGGCGCAAAAGGACCTGGGAGGGCTCCGCTCTGCTGTACACAGCGTCAGTAGGAGTCAGGATCTACTCGACGGCACTAACAACAAACTAGGAAAGTAGAAATAGGAAGTTAAAGAAAAAAGGAGCAAACAACAATATGAACAGAAAAAACCCCAAAGCCCCACAAACCTAATCAATTAGACTAAAGACAGGAAAAAAAAACAATAAAGTATACCACAGAGTCTAGGACAAGACATAAGGAATAAAACAAATGTGACAGTTTCAAAATCAAAAGGAAGGGTTCAATTCCTCTATGAGAGACTGTTTTTCACAGAATCCAGCAGATGCTATGGACAAGAGACACCCGCAATGGGACAGTTTCCACCTGCTCTGCGCCTCTCCCTCACTGCAGGTCTCTCACCAACTCTTGTGTCATTTAGATTCTTCAGAAGTAAGAATATAAACTTGTTCTAACCAACTTAAGAAAACAGGGGGCTAACTGAGACACTACTCAGCAGTTCTCAGGCTGAACAACTGAGGCCAGGGGAGGAACAGGGCAGGGTGAGATGTCGGCAGCCCATCTCGACCCACCTGCTCTCCCGGCCTGCTTCCAATCAGGGTTCACACTGACTGGAGAGAGAAGAGTCTGATGGGCCCACTGGGGTCACGTGCTCTCCAGAAACTGAAGGGAGTGACGGTAAATGGACTTTCTGAAAGGCTCCCTCTGACACAGCCCTGCCCCAGCTGTGCCTCCTGATAAGGAGGCACAGGATGAGGTCAATAATCACTCCTGTGCCCCGTGCTCCCAAACTTGCCTTTAACCCGACTCTAGTCAATAGGGTCCTGAGAGCAGGACTAGAAAGGAAGAAAAGCAGTGTCCTTGGATGACAAGTGAGCAGGTAGCCAACTGAGAAATAAAGGGGGTGTAGCCACCGTGACAGGCTGTGGTGGCGATCGGGGCTCAGGGAAGAGGGTCTCTGACCACAACACAATAAAACTGGGAGAAGACAGTAAAAAATAAGAAACACACACCCTCCCTAAGAAATTTTTAAAAAGCATTCTTCTAAGTTATTCGTGAGTTTAACAAGAGATCAAGAACTGGCCCTGATGGCCTAGTGGTTAAAGTTGGGCACGCTTCACTTTGGTGGCCTGGGTTTGTTTCCTGGTCGCGGAACTACACACCACTCGTCTGTCAGTTGCCATGCTGTGGCAGCGGCTCACATAGAAGAACTAGAACAACTTACAACTAGGATGTACAACCATGCACTGGGGCTTTGGGGAGGAAAAAAGAGAGAGATCAAATTTGAAAATACCGGCTATTTTGGATAGAGACAATAATCAGGAATTTCCTCTTGGTACCCAAATAAAGAACACTGGGCAACAGTCTGTCAGTAGGGTCTGGTTACTAAGAAAACATCCCCAGCAGGCATTCAAGGCTGAGATACACGTTACCTCTTTGACATTCTGTAAGGTTTCAGGTGTGATGGTGAAGTCCACAGGGCTCGGAGTCAGTTTCCCCTTCTGAGGCTAAAACAGGAGGAAAACCAAAATCAGATGCTTGCATGCCAAGGGTTCCACAGTCAGACCCCTCCTCCCTCTTAAAGAACCGAAGGGCAGCATAACGAGCCAGGAAGAAGTGGTACTCAGAGGCAGGATGCCTGGTTCTGAACACAGCTCTGCCGGAAAACAACATGGGGTTCTCTGTCAAATTTCTTCATCCCTCATGACTCAGTTACCTCATCTGTAAATGAGCGGACAGACTTCTTAATCTCTACAGTCCCTTTCAGGTACAGAATTTAAAAATCAGACCTAAGAAATGGAGTAGTATTATTGGGAGATATTTATTTTAAACCTCTCTCTTAGAATAAGAGCTAACACTGGAGTGTCTCAGTGTGCCGCTGACCCCATGGGGTGCTGTCACTGTCACTGGTCCCACCTCACAGAGGAGGACAGTGGGGCAGAGGGCTTCAATGGCTCGCTTGAGCAAGTGGCAGAGCCAAGATTCAAGCCCAGGCAGCCTGGCTGCACTACAGTGCTAACGCTGTTAGCCACTGAGCCACACAACTGTCTATCTACAAGAATCACACCTATAAAATAACTAATTATAAACATTACTGAGATTAACTAACAATGACCATCTCTACACTATGTAATTGCAGAATCCACCAATATAGCCAAGCTCCGTCAGGGCCTGCCTGGTCTTTTACTCAGGGGCCAGGATCCAAAGGCCACGGATGCCCATATGGCAAAGGAGGAGCGGTGGAGGAAGGGCACTGACCAATCTGCCAAGTTTATTCCTTTACCAGAAACTTCTTCCAGGGAAAACTCTTCTTGGATATATTCTTCTTCTTAATAGGTTCATGGACATATTCTTTAGTGAATATATTCTTCCTCCCAGAACGTAAAGGAACATTTAACTTGTTGTCAACTACAGCTCACAGTGTGGTTTGGCCTTCCTGTGAAATCAGTCACAGAGAAGAACACGATTCTTGCAGGCCACGTGTAGATAAACTGCCAGGAGCAGGAGGAAGCCCCCAACAGCTCTGCCATCACCGCCCACCCCGAGCTGAGCTGACCTGACTGATGAGGGGGCTCTGCAGTCATGACTGGGCTGTGGGTTGGGGGCCTAGCCCGGGCCCAGCTCTGGGCAGGGGGCTGAATTTGGGCTCATTCTTTTTCACAAAGTTGGAGGCTCTTTTCATTAAGGACATAAAAGGGTATGTGACATTTTTAGGGAATAATCCACATTAAAAAAAATTTTTTTATGCTTTGATTTGAAAATCCTTAATGGAAAAAAGGAAAATATCCATCTAAATCACATAATTTCTTAAAAAGATAAATATTTTTTCATATTTTATACAAATTTATACAATATATTTTATCACTAAAAGAGACAAACACTGTGATTATGAAAAATTTACAGAGAGGGAAGCTACAAATATTGGGAGTCCCAAAAAGTCACAAAAATGACACAAATAAAGGACATCCGTGATTTTGCCAATCTTATGTACAAGAGATTTAAGTCTTACATTTTTACTTTTTAATCACTATCAAAAGATACTCATGGACATTTCATAATAGTGTAAAGGAAATGCAATTACAAATTCTCCACAACAATTAACCTGCGTCACAATGTAGCTCTGTAAAAGCCCTGTTTATTAAGGTGAGGACGGTGGGACACGTGTGGGCCCCCAGGACATGGAGTCCTGCTTGTGCCAACAAAGCTGCCGGCTGCGCTGAGTAAATGAGTCAAGAAAACCTAGTAGCTCTGCTGGCTGCCCAGTGGGGGGCGCGTTTTGACCTGTCCTCCAGCCCCGAGAATCCACACGCTCATGGAACACGGGTGTCTTCCAGCTCTGTAAGGCCCTCAGGAGCTGTGTCTCTGAGTCAGCCCTGGTGGATGCCTCGCAGCAGCCCCGGGGCCACCTGGTGCTCTGGCGACGCTCTCAGCCACCACATCCAGGCTCCCCGTGCCCGGACACCTCCAGGAACCCCAGTTTTGCTGACTTCTGTCCCTGAAGTGCTCAGAATCAAACTGAAGCCAGAGATACCAAAGGCTGAGTCTAGGGAGCTAGTCAGGGAGGGAACCAGGCTGCAAGAGGCCCCGGAAAAGAGGGGCAGAACCAGCCCTGAACCAGCAGTGTGAGCGTGCAGCACAGGGAAGGAAGGGCCAGGCCCGGCAGCCGCTGGGATGCAGAACCTAGAGACCTAGAGAGGGCCGAGAGACACAGGGAATCCACGGCTGTGGGCACGAGTATCTGTCACCATGTGTAACAGCGAGGGCAGGCATGAGGACCAAGGAACAGCACAGATGGGCTGCAGAGGACTCTGAATACACCATGAATTGGAATCACCTGCAGCAGTGGGGGAGGGGATCCAGTTCCCTAAGTTGGCACGGGAAAAGAATTTTTAAAGAACATTTTGTCACTATGAAATATTATCTAAAGGTGTTAGGAGAGGCACACTGCCCTGGCCCCGAGTGTCCCTGTCTGTTCGTGCTGTGGATGCCACCAGTGTAAGGCCCTGACTGTCTTTACCTGGGCCTGGCCATCTCTTTGAGCTGTGTTTGCTGCAGCAACCTTGAGGGAGGAGGTGACGTCTCCCTCCAGGACAAAGAGCAGGCTTGCTCACTGCCTGCTGTATCAGGGGTGGGTTCCCCCACTTGCTGCTCCTCAGCCGAGGCAGTAACCCTCTCAGGTGCAGCACTATTTGGGCCTGTGGCATCACCCGTGGGACTCCAGGCCCGGGCGAATGACGCACACGCGGATGCTCACACTGCTGGCCGAGCCAGGAGAAACCAGGTCCCCTGTCTCTGAGCCCGGAGTCTCGTGTCTCTCAGCAGCCACAGAGCTGGACGTAGGGTAAAACTCCAGGCCCACAGAAGATTCCTAGTATCAAGCCCCAGAGCCCCCAAGCACAGCTTACAGCAGAGTGAACGATGAATTCACAGGTCTTTGTCAAGTCCTTGGCCAACAGAGACCGCCTCATGTCACAGCGCAGGGTGTACTAGAGGGAAAAGTCAGAGAAGAAAAGGCCGTTTTAGTGTGATTTGCTTTCATCGAGGCAAGTCAGTCAATATTTTTGGGGAAACCTTGTCCAATTAGTGTATTACATGAAATTAGTACACATAATAGGGGGGAGTTAATGCTCAAAACAAAGGCATTTCTATAAAACAACAAAAACAAACACTTTAGGGTTATTCCTCAGCCTATTCACACAGCCGTCCTGCAGCTGGACCCACTGGCACATAAGTGCAGGGTCTTACCTATAACACAGGGAAAGACCAGAGTGGTAGAACTGAAAGGGCACGCACTTAGGGGTAGAAGCTAGCTCAAATCCAGTTATCTGTCTCACTGTGTGAGCCCAGACAAATAACACTTCTCCGAGCTTCGGCTTCCTGCCCCGTAGAATAGGGATTTTATACCTGCCTTCAGTGAGGATCAAACGAGACCATGTGTGATAAGCACGTAGCACAGGGCCCGGCACCCAGCAGCTCTTGGTAAAAGAGCGACTATTTTGTAGTGAAGATTAGAAACATCTATGTGGCAAGGACTAGAGACAGCTGGAACAGCATCCAGCACTTCACAGACCAACTGGAGGGAAGTGAGTGCTCTCTGCTCCCTCTTGCTGCTGAGAGCTCTGTGCGCCCAGCCCGGCACCTCACGGGGCGGGATCAGTCACCCTGCGCTCGGGAGCTTCTGTTTACCGAAGAGAAGTTACATGCGGTGACCAGATCCAGAGACCCAGCTCTCCAGGCATCTCAGAACTAGCTCCTCACCTGTTAACCTTAAGGAGGAATAAGGAAGGGATAGTCTTTTTGAAATTTTTATTTTGGAAAATCCAAACATACACAAAAGTGAAGAGCAGAGTGTAAGGAAGCCCCACATACCCATCAGCCAGCTCCCACAGTGGTCACCTCGGGGCTGCTCTTAGTTAACATTCTCCCTCTCAGCCCCACCCCGTCCTCCAACGCAGATGGATCCTGCGTGCAGAATAGAGCGCACAGGGAAGGAATGCAGCATCTTGCTTTTAACTTAGCTGCATTCAGTCTCTCTGCTGTGCCTATGCTGTTTTCCTGAACTAGCCACTGCTGGTGTGCTGCTGAAAGATGGGCCCATGCAGGGAGGGAGAGCCCGGGGCAGAGCCGGTCACTGAGTGAAAACACGGCTCAGACCTGGGACTGTTTCTCACATCCCTGACCACGCGCTGAGAGACTGGGTGCTAACAAAATTCTACAGCATGATCACTGTCTTAATGCTAATCTTAAAAAAAAAAAAAAAATCACATAATCCATGTTTAATAAAGTTAGCTGTTCTTTTAATCATCCAGGAAAAACTTTAGAATTATGTTAAAAATAATTTGGACTGCAAAAATAATTTGTAAATAACTGGGACTATATGCACACTTGAATCAAGAAGCTCCATTATTATGAACAACCTATCCATATTAAACAAGTTACCATATATTTAAGGTACTACTGATTAAAACATTAAATTTTTTTTTTTTAAATATCATCCCTTCTCTGCAAGGATCTTTTTTTATATCTATTCTCTATTGAGATTTGAATCTGCTCTCCCCAACCAGACAAGCTCAGTGAGGGCTAGTACTGCGCGTGTGTGTGTGTGTGTGTGTGTGTATTTATGTATGTATAATGTATATGTATGTGTATTGTCTTCCTCCTGTATGTCCCGCATGCTGTCTAGAGTGGGCAATATTTTGTTCTGGCTTGCCTGGTCTCTGATTCTTTTCCCAATGGGAACTGCCCATTATTCTCAGGGGTTTAAGTGGGGCTGACCTCCCCCACACCCCCTGAGTGTAGAAGTGACCAGTAAGCCCGACTGGTGCTGGGACAATGGGAAAGAATTCTTTCTGCTGGGGTTGCCAACCCAGTAGACTGTAAGCCTGCAGCTGCTGGCTGGCAGCCAGCTTCACGATGGCAAGAGAAGAGGCTGCCTGAGACTGAGGCCTGCAGGGAAGAAAGCCGAGCCGGAGACATGACTGGTATCCACCTGGGCCTAGACATTCCCTTGGAATTGCTAGTTCTATGGTCCAGTATCCCTTTTTTGGCTAAGTCAATTTGGGCTGGATTTCTATAACTTGCAAATAAAAGGATGTGAATAACAGGCATCAACTTTTGGTCACTAAATGTTTTTTAGGTGTGAAAACAATAATTAGTAATATAAGGCAGCTGGCAATAAGTGGGGGAGGGGAGAAAATCGGAAACCACCGATGTTACATTCTAGGAATTGTGTTAAGTTCTTTCACACGTACTTTCTTAATTCTAACAATACAAATATAAGAACTGTTAGGATATTATAAGGATAGTCAGCATTAATTCATTTACTCAATCACTCAGCAAACATTTACTTGGCACATTCTCTGTGCCAGGTACTACGCTAACTAAGCACTTCACACCAAGACCTCATTAACCCTCTAGGAAGTGAGGTCACGAAGGCTGCTCCGGGTCACAGAGGGGGGATCTGAATTTACACCTGCCTCTTGCCAAATCCAGGCTCTGAATCTTTACGCAATGCTGTAATTCAAGCCCGGATCTGTCTGCTGCAAAGCCCGGGATCTTTTCACTTTATCGTGATCTTGCCCACTTACTAGGGAGACAGCCGGGTGGTATGAGCTACAGGAGGTCAGAGGGGTCTGGACGGCCAGACTAGAGCAGGGCGTCAAAAGGAAGTGCAAGATGCAGTCTTTCCGACTGTCAATCAACACACATCAACAGGAATGAAGAAAGATGCTTGTCTAGATTTAAAGCAGACTCCTAGAAAGGATATTTTTAACTGTGAAAAAGGATGACTAGCATCTCTATAAATTAATTCTGAATATACAATGTCAGCAGACATGTTGGTACTGCTCTATTTCATGTTACAGGATAAAATCTTGCTAGTACAGCCACAAGGTAGAACAAACATAATAAAACTTGCCTACGATTTAAATAACTTTTAAGAGAAAAAAGTAGCTGCACAAAGGACAACCAGAAAATACTGACAGATTCCTGAGTGCACTATCTAATAATAAAGATGAGAAATGAAGGCAACGTGACAGAAAAGGGGAGCAAACATCATCAGGCCCTCTGTCTAAGGATACTCAGCCCCTGCAGGTTGGCGATTTCATACTGGCTACCTTTTAAATCTTTTCCTCCGTCTTAAGATTTTTACATTATGTTACTACAACATAATTCAAATTATAAATGTAAAATTCTTTGCAACTATACAATTTGAGAAAGAAGATGTTATTAGGGTTTGACACAACACTATCTATTCAAAATAACCCCCCCGTGAATCTTCAGAGAAAGTGCAGTGAGCAATGGGCACCAAGAGGCCAACACCCTGTGGGCCACGCTGAGGCCGGCTGTGTGACCACGGTGGTCACTCTCCTGTCTGAGTGGCACTTGGTCCACTGTAAAACAAGGAGGCTGGACAAACACCCGTCTAGTAACTGAATGAATGAATGAGTCAGTGAACGAAAAACAGATCAAAAAACCATCATCCTAGTTTCTCTCAAGAGGTATATTTTCCCAAAAGAAGCAATGACGAATTTGAATATGAATTAGGAATGGGATGATATTTGAGAATTTTTGTTCATTTTGATAGTGTGAAAATGTTAACTGTGATTATGTAGGAGAATGTCCCTATTTTTTGGAGATGGATATTGAAGTATTTCGAGATGAAGTGTCAAGATTCTGTAACTAACTTTGAAATGACTCAGAAAAAATAAATACAGATGAAACAAAGATGGCAAATTCTAATAAATGTTGAATCTAGGCGCTAAGTATAAGGGTGACAAGATCTTATAAATCTGAGGGTAAGAAGAAATCTCTTCCTTTTTAGAAATCTGTGAGATATCCAGGGAGGGGCAGACTTCTCAGTTGTGGCATTCTGAGGCGAACTCTCAAGCAGTAAAATCTGACAACCAAAATAGAGAGGGGGTCGGGGTGATTATGATATTATACCCTCACTACAGAATTTACCACATTCACTCTCCTGTTGCATTTTAAATCGTTTCCAATTTACACACACAGCTAGGTGGGAACACAAGTGCACAAATTCTGTATGCGTATCTGTATGCCTTTCTTGGCAATATTTGGAAAAGGATGAGATTTCCAATTTTATTTTAAACGTATTAATCTTTTTCTTTTTTTTTTAATAATTTTATTTATTTATTTTTTCCCCCAAAGCCCCAGTAGATAGTTGTACGTCATAGCTGCACATCCTTCTAGTTGCTGTATGTGGGAGGAGGCCTCAGCATGGCCGGAGAAGCGGTGCGTCGGTGCACGCCCGGGATCTGAGCCCAGGCCACCAGCAGCGGAGCGCATGCACTTAACCGCTAAGCCATGGGGCCGGCCCCTAAACATATTAATCTTTTAACAAGAATGATAAACACAGGAGAAAGTAACAAGTAAGAAGTATGACCAGTGAAAATTCGATGTTATTCTATTTAGTTTCTAATGAACATATGCTGATATTACTAAATAAACACTACTAAAGAACTACTATGTGGGTAAAGCTAGTTGATGCTGATTATGGACAGAGAATAAAAATAACTTTTCGAAAGAAATGTTTGAGATATTTTCATTTTTTCATTTACTTTCTTTCATGGTGAAAGTATTCCCAACCTAGAAAGCTGGTCAGAGGACTCACATCTATACACCAGCAATCTGTCTGTCTACCCAAGCAGCTCCCTTTGAATCTAGACGCTCGCCCAGTCATTACTGTTACTTCCTACAGGCTGTCCAAGGCCTTTAGTACATATATTGCCTGAAACAGGTGCACCAATAATAAAGGACTAGAAATGTTTTTTCTTTACACAAAGCTATTTAGTGCAATAGAGTACATCAGACCACACAGGTTTCTTCTTGACAGATCTTTCAGGCAATTCATCAAACTCACAGACAAACCTTTGGTTAAGCTCACTCAAGTGTTTTGAGGATTTTTATTTTACAAGTGCTAAATTTTAATCAGGGGAATGGTCTCTACCAAGACCAAATTATCAGCTAAAACTTAATCAATCAAAAAGTTCCTAACTTCAGCCCTCTTGCACATACGTAAGACAAAATAGTTCTGTCTCCTCTGGTAGGGGGAACCACTGCAGAACGGACAACACAAAAGCCCCTTTCTTTCCACTGAACACAGGAAAGGCTCTCTTTCTTTCACTCTGAGTCATGACTCCAAACTGCGCCCGAGACAACAATAGCAACTGTGGAAGGCGTCCTGCCCAGCAGAGGTAGACGGGAAGTCATAAATTCACTTCCCCTCACTCACAGGGTTTGTTCAAGAAAAAATACAAGCCTGTGTTAAAGCAGTAGCCTTTGGGTATTAAACAGGGATATTTATGAGTATAAAATGGACAAGTTAGTGTGGGTGCCAGAGAGAAGTGAGGGCTTATCTATGACAAACAATGAAAGCCCCCTTACAGTGTCCATGTGGCCTGAACAGAACCCAAAGGAAACAAAGGAATTTTTAAAAAGAGGTTACAGCGTGGGTCCCCCAGGATGCCTATCAAAAACAATGCTCATACATAACATGTGTTCTCCAGGGCAAAATAAGAAATCAACATCGATTATACATGGGAGAGCTCAGCAATAATCAATTCTCAGGTCTGTCTATTCCCTTTCAGTGAAAGGAAGACCCAGCTGTTCTGCAGAAGGAACGTTATGAAGTCAGCTGCATGGGATCAGGAAATTCTCACCTGAATGTTGACAAACACGCCATGGTAGGTCTCATACAGAACCTTGTTACCCTTCACATGCAGAGGAAATTCAAAAGGAATTTCTGTTTTCCCGGGGGGAAATTTCCCTGGCTTCACCATCTCGATGGTGCTGTTGATGATCTGGATAGGCTGTAAGGAAAAATCAGCTCAGTTCATCAACATGCACTGTTAGATGCACATTCACATTACTGTGTCTATTAACACTCCCCTGAAAGACACCACATCCCTTGCCCTTGGACGCTACCATCCTGGTGTCCTGGGCTGCACAGTGCTGGTCTGGAGATGAACAGTGAGCTGGTTCAAGTCTTTGGCACAATAATGGTTCATTTACAGTACTGGACACTTAGATGTCTGGTGCACAGTAGGAAGTGAACTGACATTTCCCTCTCCTCTCCACAAACATCTCCGTTAACTATCCTAACAACCCTCCCACAGGCACCCCATCTTCAGAACGAAGAAGCAGACAGTCGAGGTACTCCACAAGGAGGACCGCCATCTGAACCCAGGGCTCCTCTTCATCAGCCTGTGTCTTCTTGGCACCACTCCATCCAATGGTACCAGCCTCCTGGGAGCCTTAACACTGCCAGCCACGTGTGGACCAGCAGGGCCTTTCCCCAGCCTGGCACAGGCCTCGGCTGGGCCTCCAGGGAGAAAGACGGTACTAACATTGGGGACCTGCCTAAAAGGCGGGTATCACACTTTAACTAGTTAAGGTATTCTAAGCTTTGGTTTAGCATCACTCTGAGAAAATACGTGACTCATGAAGGGAGTCACTAAGTGCCAATGGAGGAAAATAAGAAAACTGTGGAAAACATGGGAAGGCCCTGAATCTGAACGCTGTTAATGAACCCTTCTTTCGTCTTTAACTCTTTTTCCTCAAAACTTAAGGAGTTCATACATCCTTCAGGAAAAGGAAACTGTAAGTACAGAAGAAGAGTTTACATTCTGGAAGACAGAAATCTACCCTAAACGACACAAAGGAAAGAATGGCCACTGCTCTGTTTCACCTCACCTGAACGCCAGATCCAACAGCAGCAGCGGACATGGTTAAAAGACCAGTTTTGTTCTGGGCAGGTAAGCGCAGACGCCACAGGCACAACCTCTCAGAGAGCTCTGGTCCCTTCAACGGCTGACATCAGTCTGCCAGAATTCTCCTATCCCTTCTCATAGGAATGAGAACAAGCTGACTTTCTATAACAGGGTATATTCAGAATCAAAATATCTGAGTATTTTTTCAGTTTGATGAGTAAGTATTAAAAGTATGACTATCACTATACCTTGCAAAGTAAGGACAGATAACAACAATAAAGCCAGACAGCAAGTAAAAACCAACACAAACACTTGACTAAAGAACTAAAAATGTGCAACCTAAGCATCTTTACCTTAACGGAATTATAGAAAGCTTCGAACACACCCACACTCTTGGCGCTGAGCTGTAGGTTCACGGATCCTTCCACCGTCAGAGAGACTCCCTGGTGCTGGACCGAGTCCTTACCAGATACAACCACCACACCTGAGAGCATCTCCTAGGAGAGGAATTTTTATTGTTATTTTTTAATTGAAATTAAAAATTTAATTTCCCAAATTAGCACATTTCTTTCATTCACCTTGTTTGTTAGCAAAAGTAAGTCTCCTTAACGATCAATTCTTTCAAAGCTTCGGACATTCACAGAGCACTTATATAGAACAGAAGCCTGGACGCTGGGATGGAGATGGCACGGCCCCTGGTGGGGGGCCAGGCAGCCACCAATAATTACAGGGCAGGACTGGACGAATGCTGATGGGGAGCACCAGGGGAAGTAGGCAAGGAATCTCATCCCATCAGGGCCTTCCTGACACATCTTCATTCCCACTGGGAGAATCCCAACAAACGTCTGACTTCAAAAGGGCAAAGGAAGGGCCTGGGGCAGGTGGCAGCTCCACAGCCACATCACACACGAGCGTGGTTCTCTACAATAAAAGAAAATCCTCTTCTTTAGGTTCTTTCTCAATTGTGCCGACTAAAATGACTGCACGTTTTCAATGCACGAGTAATTTAACACCAGTGTTAGCCTGGTGTCCTCCCTGCCCAGAACGCCCCGCTGAGGAGAGACCCGGAGGTTGTCAAGAGAACACAAGAAGACAACACACCACTTTCACTAAAGACATCCTCAGTCCTTCCACAGCCCGGTGCACTTTGGTGACATCCAAGCCCAGATTTCCCTGGCTCATAAATCATTTAGGAGGGATTTCACAACAGACCGTCTATTCATTTATCTGAAGATAATTGCTGAGTAACAGAAGATGGACCTTACATCCTTTACTGGATGGCAGTTTCTGCCTGTCACCAGAGAACTCGACAGTCTCAATTTGCTAAGGGGGTTTGAGTGGAAAAGGAAGTTGAGGAGATTAAATAGCATCAACCCGAGTGGAAAGAGAATCCACAATAAATACAAAACAACGTGTTTCTGAAATGACCTTCGGAAACGTAGCATGAGTGCTGTCAAATGATAATACGACGGCAGAAAATTGTGGACAACAAAACCAAAAAAAGAAAAACAGCAAAAGTAAAAACGACCTGAGGATCAAAGCATTAAGAAACATCTGTCCTCTTGGTGTTTAAATCTGTTTACCTTTTATTTCCTCTAGTCATCTATTGAAAAGCTTTCACCAAGCTCTCACATTATGTGGGATTTGGGGAGCAGGGAATATTCTATGTCCCTTAAAGGTGCTAAATATTTTGTCTTGGTTTCCCACTCTCCCATAAAAAGTGCATAAACAAATTTAAAAGAAAATTCCTCTAAAATAAGTTAATTTTTAAATTTAATTAAAATTACTTCTATTAATTTTTGTACAACCCAAATCAAGTAGAAATCTAATTTTGAGAAAATTTAAATGCACTAGTATACTTTTAAAAACTTACTTGACTAGTATGTCCCAAAATAAAATGAGACAAAATAAGTTCATGAACTTTTTCAATTGAACAACACAATAGCACTTGAGGATAGTTCTGCTCCTATCTAACCATAACATTTTCAGTTAATCTCATGGGAACCGGATTTGGGTTGACCACGGATTGGCATATTACAATCATGACATCAACAGAACCTTTTCCTTCCTTAATCCCAATGGCATAAGAAGGAAAAAGCGCTGAAGTGCCTTGGAAGTAAGCAGAGTAAATATTTTACGACCCAAGGGACTCTTCTGTCATTCTCTCATTTAATTAAGAAAGACTATGGTAGAGAGAAAACAAAATTAGTAAAATATTTGTAGATAAATGAGGCATCCTTATGATACACACGTCTATTCAGTTCCTACCAACAAAAGAACGATATAGAGTTAGTCCACGTGTAGCTCAACAAGCCAAGAATTTTAGAAACAGAAGATGGTTCAACAAGGAGTTAACACTCATAATAACGAGAAAACAGACAATTCTTTGTTTGGTTTTCGGGTTTTTTAAATTGAGCTATAATTGACATATAACATCTTAGTTTTAGGTGTACCAGATAATTCCTGATTAATTCTGGCAAAGGAGGATAGAATGAACTTGAGTAGCTAAAATTAAGGAAAACCCAAGACATCACCAAGAACTCCTCTCTCAGACTTTTGTCTAGAATTCTCAACAAGGAGAGAATGAGATTATGGCTCTGGATAGAGCCAATACCTCACTCAACGTAATAAGCAGGGATCCTTCAACTGGGGACCACAATTTCAAAGAGTGGCCACTCAGAGAACCTCAGAAACAACGTACAAAATCATGCACACAAGTGCCAATTTTTAGGGAGAAGAGCCATAGCTTTTGTCATATCATAAAGGAGGTCCTTGACCTGAGAGAGCTTAAGAAACACAGGTGAGGCGAGACACAGGCCCCACACTTGTCTGCACATAGAAGACACAAGGGGACAGATCCCAGTGCTTTAGCCTGTATGTCTCACCCCCCTTTTTTTTTTTAAAATTTTGTTTATTTATTTCTCTCCCCCAAAGCCCCAGTAGATAGCTGTATGTCATAGTTGCCCATCCTTCTAGTTGCTGTATGTGGGATGCGGCCTCAGCATGGCTGGAGAAGTGGTGCGGTGCGTGCCCGGGATCCGAACCCAGGGCGCCAGCAGCGGAGCGCACGCACTTAACCGCTAAGCCACGGGGCCAGCCCTGTATGTCTCACCCCTTAAAGGGACTTACAACTGTGCTATTCCTCAAAATGGGCCAGCACAGACGCCTCTGATCCTACCAGTGCTATGAAAACCTTACTCCTTGGCAAGGCAACGCGTTCAAGGGAACCACATCACACAGAGCCTGCCGCAAGTCGGCTCAAGTCCCCGCCCCGGAGGGGCTAAGTCTAGAGAAAGGCCTCCAGCAGCCATCTGCAACCACAAACCAAAAGATCAGGCTGGGAACAAGGCTACTGGGCACACCCTGGCCTTCTCAGCCACGCCGCCTTTCAGCAGAAACCACTACCAAGTTTGTCCAAAGGGTGGTAAGAGAGACTATGTTTTCTAACTTTGTCTTCTCTAAATGTAAATGGCCACTACCAAACTACACAACTTTTCTCTTTTGTTCTCTGGAATTAAATGCCAAACCCATAATTAGGACTCTGGGTTTGAAGATGGTGGCATCAAGTCAGTGTTCCCCCTGGCTTCCTGGAAATCACCCAAAAGAAGAAGAAACAAAACCACAAACTCCATGTCCGGCGAAGCAAGGAGACAGTCAGATATTATGAAATAGACGGAAGAGTTGCTCAAGAGGGAAGACAGAGCGTGGGGGCAAGCAGTGAAAAGCCGAAACAAGCCCGCTGGCTGCAGTAATACGCTTCTGGAAGGTGAGGGACACCTGGGAGCAGCTGCCCTGGCCGCGGGCTTCGCAGGGGCTGGTCGGGTTCTAAGGAGCAGAGGAGGCAGCACCCAGTGAGGAACCCTACAAATGTGCCCATGCAGGAGGCAGGGAGCAGTGGGCTCTGCAGCAGTGCAGTGAGGGCCCTGGCACTGTGAAAATCTCCCAGCTGCTTATCTCCCAGGCGGAAGAAAAGTAAAGGTTAAAGAAACTCACCATAAAACCTCAGCCAGCCTAGTCTAGGAATAAAACCTCCTACAAGAAGGAGACATTAAAAGAACGAGCAGAGGAGCACAGGACGTGTAATGGATTTAAAAACGAGGGATGGAGGGAAGGAGGGGGAGAGAGAGAAAACCAAGTGGCAGATGATGAATAAAAAAAGACAGACCGTGTCACTCTTCTACTTAATGAAACTCAATAGCGGCTCCTCATCTCACTCAGGGTAAAGGCCAAAGTCATTTCATGGCCTAAAAGGAGGATGTGTCCCTCCCCTTGACCTGTCTGACCTCATCTCTTAACTCCCCTTCATAACTTTGCCCCCGTCACCGGCCCCCTTGCTATTCCTTTAACATGCTGCAGAGTCCACCCTCGAGGCAGCTATACATGCTCTTCCCCCAACCTAGATACTCTTCTTCCAGATACCCACGTGGCTTGTGACAGTCTCTCCTTGACCTAACTCTACTCAGCCTCCCCAAGCTCTTTTTCAACTAGCCTTAACTTTTGGATTTCCATATTCCTCTCTGCATTGTTCAATTTTAGCAAGAATTCTGCTATGTCAGTTTAGCCATCCTCCATATCTGATCACCCCTGATATCTGATTGGGTTCCTCATCCTCCAGCACCCCCAGGTGATGTCTGATCACCCTGGCCTGCCTTCAGCAAGAATCCTGTTAGGTTGGTTTAGCCAGAATGCCCCCGACCCTTTATGTTTCCTCTCAGTAATTTTCCATCCACTGACGCCCATCCTGCTCCTTGGCTGTCAATTCCCACTTGCCCATGCTTAACCCGGAGTTGAGCCCGACCTCTCTCCCCCACTGCTAGACCCCATTATACCTATTACAATAGTTCCCCCTTGAATAAAGCCTGCCTTACCCTCTTTAGCAAGTGTCATGAATAATTTTTTCTTTAACACTTGCTCCCTCCTCTCTATCACATCATTGCTCAGATGACACCATTTTCTTGAGGCCCTCTCTGACCACTGCTATTTAAAACTGCACTACCCCTCCCCAATACTCACTTATCCCTCCTCCCTGACTCTGCTCTGTAGCACTTGTCACCTTCTAAAATACGACATCAGTACTTACCTATTTTATTTACTATCTGTACCCCTGGAATGTAAACTCCATGAGCGTTGAGTGATCGCAAGAGTACGCATTCGATGAATGTTCACTGAATGAATGAATACACGACCATTCGGCAGAGAAAACAGTACTGTCAAGCAGATGAAAACTGTGAACATGCATTTCACCACGAATTTTTAAAATCTAATGAAGCAATTGCTTCTATAAAGGATGAACGCAAAACAGAGCTATAAGAGCTCAGGGATGATGAAATGGTGAGGCGACAGATAAAAATATAAGAAAAGCTCAGAAAAGAACTGGAAGGAAAAAATAAAGCCATCACAGAAAAGGAGGTGAAACTGAAAGGGGTAAAAATACAGAGAGGGCAGAAATGAGAAAATTCAAACAAAATAAATGAAAATTTAAGAAAGAATTAAAAAG